AGGTCGGGAGTAACAAGGCTTCTAGTGTCTTCACTACTGGGGAGAGGAGAGTTATCGGACGATACATATATTTCTCTTCATATTCTCTGTTGAGTATGTGGAGAACTGTTAAAATTGTTAACATTTCACAGCGTGACTTCTGTGGCTGTAAGGTGAATACTTACTATAAATCTAACAAATGTTTGACATCGAACTTGCACCTTCTCTATACTTTACATTCTCTGGCTTCTTAGCGGCACAACCTGCTTATAAATGAAACATTATTTGATACCAAAGTGGCTAGTGGCTTGTTTTGAAACTTTTTGCAAAATTTAAATTATTTAGAAGTCTGTTGAAATAAATTATTAATAGTGTTCTTAAAAAACAATGATCAGTTTTTCTGAGAATGTACACTCATTTTCAGTAAAATAAAACACTTCAAGGTATGCTGAACCACAAAGCTTCGCGAATTTGACTATGTGCTTCATGATCAAACAAACAATTTATTGTTTATTTAAATATAATTAGGACCCAAAATACAACTTTTAAATTCAAGTTATTTTGAAATATATAAATATAATTTGTTTGTTTTAGTTATTCTTTTTAATTACAAATTAAAGGTGTAGTTTAGTATTTCTTACACCGAGGCAATTGAATATTCAGCAGGGAATTTGAATGTGTGAGATCCGAGTGATCTGATTGTTGGCAACAAGCCTGCATTTGGTATGATATTCCACGACAGATATAGCGAAACATTTTTGTTGTTCCTACAAAGAAAAATAACAATATATAGGACCGAAGAAATTGTATATTACCACTTACATATAGTATTTGAGATATTTACAAAAAAAAGTTGAGAAATTCAACCATTAAAAGGGTGTTTCTTTGATTTATAATGAATTTTACCCACATATTTTTAACTTTTATATCCTCTAACCTGGGTTTTCATTTACTACTCCGTACCAGCAAAATTACCGCTCTCACTTTGTCGGGAGCCATAGCATTACTATGTAAAAGTATGTGCTCTGCTACACATGCTAAATATGAGAGAGCTGTAGGTCTACTCTACTATCGATCCCAATTTTTTGCTGGTAACGCTACGCCAAAGCAGAGCACAGCACTTCATTTTTGGCTATTGCTACAGCTATAGTTTTTTAACTAACAAAACTCGTATCAGAGCACAACATATACGTTTACATTGTTCTGCTATGTCTCTGCCCCGGCTCCCGGCACAATTCCTATTACTTTGGCGCCGCGATCTGAAGGTACCGCTGGAAAGAGGAAGTCCTCTTAATTAAAAAATTAGGGTACCGCAAACGCTTAGTTTACGAGATATTCGACTTAAAAGTTCAAAAATTACCAAAATTCGAACTTTTCAACATGCTATTTCACTACATAACACACTTTATGCACATTTTACTTTTCAAATTCATTTAAATAAGCTGTAAACATTTAAACAAATTCAACTCTTTACTCTTTTTGTAGATTTTATAAGTAAGAAATTTATATTTTTAAAATAGCGTTTTACACGCGTAGTGAGCATCATTTATGAGCTAACAATTTTGAGGAAATGGAACATTGCCATATGATTAAGCAAATATGAGCAATTCGCTAAAATTTCTCTTCACAGAAAGTAGTACTACTCAACACAGAAAGTAGTACTACGCAAAAGACCTTCAGTTACCCCGAGTATTGGATAGATCAGGGTTTTTTTTTTTGTTTTTAAGAGCAGAAAGGAGTAATATGCGAAAGTAATTCAGTCACGCGGATTATTGGATCGACCAGGGCTATTTCTTTTAAAGTGTAAAGTAATATTATCATAGAGTTTAAATTATTTGTGTGTATTAAATATAATTCACATATTATACATATACCTAAGTGTTCACAACTCAATTATAGCTTGCAAAATGTTGGCAAGTATTTTTTATTGTACTTAATATAGAAAAAAGGATCTCGTGAAAATACAAACAATGAAAAATCGTTGAAAATTCTACATATTTGGATTTTAAGATGTGGTAACGCTCATTTCCATTCATAATTGTAAATAATCTAATATTTTCACACTCATCGTTGATAAGTGATTTATTCGGAATCGCGCTCGGCTCCCGACAAAGTGAGGGCGGTAGCAATAGCAAAATGAAATGCTACGAGAGTAGCGTGGCTTTTCAAACACTGGTCAAAACTATTTATTTTTATTCTAAATTTCCCCCGAATTTACTTACTTTAAACCATTGCCGTCATCCCAGAAGTAATATTTTGTATTCATATTCTTAAAATCTAATGCAGAATTTTCTCCGCGTAATATTATTTTGTCCCACAACACAACTTGATTTAGCACACTGTCTGGAGTTTTATATTCAGCGGTCAGGTAAAGGAACAATTGTTTAACATTCCAATTGAAGAGGCTTGTCAAATTCGTCTCCAAATCGAAGGTAAGAAAACCCAAATCATGTTTCTCACGGGAGGCGCCATAGTCAGGAACGTTTTTCCTAAAATGTATGTACAAAGTGAAAATATATTAGTTTTCGGCGTAAATACACAAATCTACTTACACTAGCACCTTTACAGTGTTTACGTGTGCAGTTGTCCTACTGTCGAGAAAGACAGTCGAAAGAAAACAACAAAAAGTTAAGCAGGCGAGAACACTCAACGAATATGCCACAGTGGCATTTCCGCGCGTTAAAACGGTATGCATTTTGTTTTAATTTTATAAAATAACACAAATTTGTTAAGCTAACTACACGTATACCGATAAAACTTCTTGACACGTAGAAATGGTCGCCGTTTGTCAAATGCAAGTTAAATGTGGGTCAGAGATTGATAATGGAAACAATACAGTACAGAGTGATGCTCATTCAAACTTAAAAAGTCGAGATGACTCATTTTTCAGACTAACAGTCCGTTTCTGCGAAAACCTCACAACTTATTTGTGAGATTCTTCTTGCTCAAACCACTTTGCTGTGAACCAGGTCTTTTACAAAAACAAACAAGACAAGGCAAAGAGTCCGGCTTTATAATACCATCCCAGGATTTCGGGAATAATATGGATATGGTCGGATAGAGGAGGTTCTTCAGATCTAGAATATATATAGTTACAGCTGCTGATATTTGCGCTTAAAGTCGAAAATTAACACGATTTAAAGTAAATTTTTTTGCGATTTTAAATTAATATAACACTTATATTTTGCAGTTATCTATTCACTAGCACATTTATTCAACATTATATACTGTGCCCAAAAAATAAGGTGACATTGTGTTTATTTTGAAAATTCTTTATTTATTCTTCCAAATCAATTTCATCCCCTTCAAAGTAATCCCCACTAGATGTAGTACATTATGYCAACGGATTTTCCAATCTTCAAAACACTGGTTGTAGTGTCACTTTCCGGGATAGCCTTCAATCTTCGCTGCGGCTTGGATATCGTATAAAAACGGTGTCCCCAGAGCGGTCTTTTGAGTTTGGTGAACAGCCAGAAGTCGCACGGCGACAGATCAGGTGAATACAGTGGTTGCGGAACGATATGGGTTGAGTTTTGGGCGAAATGATCATAATGCAAATTCTTTGCTCAACAAATTTCGACATCGCAAAAAACGAAAAACTCACTTTTAGCAGCTCACAAAACGACACGTATCTCAGACACTAATGAATATTTTGACATGAAATTTGACATAAATGTCACTGACAGTCGACGCGCGCAGTTTAAATTCAAATGTCACCTTATTTTTTGGGCACAGGTATAGTGCAAAGGTATAGTGCAAAAATAATTTTAATTCAGTATTTAACTTATTGCACAAATCTATTAACTTAACAATAACGAAAGAGTTACAAGCTGTCAAATAACAGTATTACCATACTAATATATTTGAACAAACTAAACAAAATACAATATGAAAAAGATTAAAAAAAAAAAAGAATTTAACTCTTTGTTGGACCAACCAGGGTTGTTTTTTTTGAAACGCGGCCGAAGGCCTCCAAAGCTAAAAAGAGTTTTACGCGAAAAAAACTTGATACACCCCATTGGCGGCTAACAAAAAGATTCTTTGTGATAACCAAATGCAAAAATCTGTTTTTTTGTTATAATATACTTTCTTTATTTCTTCTACTGCATTTAGAAAAGATCTCTATAAGGGAATACTGATTATTTGACAGACCGCAACCCTTTAGCTGTTGTCAAATAAATAGATTTAAACAATAAGTTTAATATTCATATAAAACATTTTTTGCGCTATATAATGTAAAAAAATGTGTACAAACGATTTAATGAAGTATTAGTGAACATAAAAATTAAAAATGTAAGAGTAAAATTTAATTTATTTAAAAATAATAATAATAAAAGTTTCCTGTTGCTATAACTTTATATATTCTTCATCTGGGGAACTTCTTCTATCCTGTCTCTTATACACATCTAGATGTGTATAAGAGACAGATATTCATATAAAACATTTTTTGCGCTATATAATGTAAAAAAATGTGTACAAACGATTTAATGAAGTATTAGTGAACATAAAAATTAAAAATGTAAGAGTAAAATTTAATTTATTTAAAAATAATAATAATAAAAGTTTCCTGTTGCTATAACTTTATATATTCTTCATCTGGGGAACTTCTTCTATCTGACCCCCATTTTATTCCCGAAATCCAGGGACAGTTTACTTACGTTTTCTCAATAAAAATGATAATTTCTTCTCAGACATCACAAATTTATAATCTCACACGAAATCATCAGCTTACGGAAAACGTCACAAACAGCAAAACCCTGGAAATAGTGAGGGTGGTGATTTTTGAGAGAGCATCACAATGGGGCTCTAAATCTTTATAACCAAAATTAAAAGTTTAATAGCATATATACGTATATACCTTATAGATATATCAAAAAGTGTATTAGCGTGGGATTCTGTACTGTGATACACTCTTAAGTCTCTAAATTTGAGATTTTAAGTTAGAGACAATTTTTGAGACTTGAGACGATTTTGCCATTCTGTAAGTGACAGTCACAAAATCTATTACATTTCCTTATTCAGGATGTTTTTACACTTGAATGCAAATAAATATGTCGATAAAAAACATTTAATTTTCTATAACATAGTCAAAAAACATAATTACCAATAAAAATATAAATACATGTTCACTTTGTTTCATAATATTTACGAAATTTATTTAAAATTTAATTATTTTTAACCTTTTCGTGTTTGAGCTGCTTACAAAATATAAAAAAACAATAATCGATTATTATCTATGATGATCTCTATTCAGTATATTCAAAATGACAGACAAGCCGTGCGATTCTGTACTGTGATACAGTATCAAGTCTCTAAATTTGACAGAGAAAATTTTTGAGACTTGAGACGATTTTGCTATTCTATAAGTGATAGTCACAAACTCTATTACATTTCATTATTCAGAGATGTTTTTATACTTGAATGAAAATAAATATGTCGATAACAAATATTAAATTTTCTATAACATAGTCAAAAAACATAATTAGCAATAAAAAATAAAAATATATGTTGACTTTGTTTCATAATATTAACGAAATTTATGTAAAATTTATTTATTTTTAACCTTTTCGTGTTTGAGTTGATTACAAATTATAAAAAAAAACGACAATCGATTAATATCTATGGTGATCTCTATTCAGTATATTCAAAATGGCAGACAAGAGTTCTTTTTGGTTTTGTGACTTGCTAACTACCAGGTCTCAAATTTGAGGCAATATTTTAACAAAATGTCTCAAATAGAGACTAGAGACTGGTTACAGAATCCCGCTAAAGAGTTCGTTTTGGTTTTGTGTTTTATGAAACACGCTGTGTTTAAGAGTCATTTAATTAGGCAGCAAGTTCAATTAAAAACAAAATTTTTAAACGACGAGTCAAAAGATTGATTTTCTAATATTATCATTTAACCAATATTTTTAACGCATTAATTGAGAGTAAAAATGAAACCTGTGGTTATTTTGATATCGCGGGGCGAGCAAAAGCCGGACAAATTAGCTAGAAGTATTTAATATCAAAAATATTTGTGTATCCTGTTAATATCTAGGCTGATAATTTGTTCAATATAAACGTTTGTAATTATTTATGCAGATATTATTGTTAGCAACGGAAACTCTCTAAACAAACCTGTAACTATGTCGTTTGGATCATGTACATTTGCTACTTATTTATGTGATCTGAAGACAAAATATTACGAAAACACCATAGCTTTGTTACCTTATGAAGGAGATATCCGTGAACTACCTGAAGATCTTTTATGTGCCACAGAAATGTTGATAGTCTACTTTGATCCCGATGATGTAAATAGTTATATTTATTTATATATATATTAATCTACAAAGATGACAATTTTTACTCTGTTTAGAAAACTTTGAAATCTCATTTAAGTGAATATTGCAGTTTTTTAAATAACAATGACATTGAGTTGGGATTATTACTGACTAGCAAACTCTACGAAGATGTTAAACAAGGTCCGGCTTATAGTTCAGTTAAAGAAAGTTGTAAATTTCAATTTGATGTAATTGAGTTATCTAATAACGACGATAATAGTGAGACAACGGGATATAAGGAAGTTGTTGAAGTATTAAAGAATAATATTTGGTCAAACGTCATAGTACCAGGTGCGTTTTTTTTATCTCAAACAAATAATATGGTTATTGAATAAATATATGTATAAAGGTGCCAACATAGACGAACTTAATGATGATCTAGAAGAACAGTTGGAAGGCTTCGAAAATTTAATAACGAGCATACAAAATTTTAGGAGAATTTCGAGTGGAATGCAAAGAGACCAAAGGCTTAATGAGGCAGAAAAATTAGCTGATCTTTTTATAAAAATGATGAACGAAGATAAATAAAGTGATATATATCTATTGTATTTTGATTAAGTTAAATACATAAATATTTAGACTTTCATGTTCTATATTTTTGTTTATTTTTTTTATTATATTCAAATTTTGAAATACGTTTTTGACATTTGGTGCTTTATCTAAGCATTTTTATAAATATTTTATGTGCATATAGTTCTGTGCTGAAATCACGATTAGACCTTATCTATAAGGGAAATTTAGGTATCTATATACATGAATACATATATATAATTATATATTTAATCACTTTTTTATTGATAAATTTAAGCTGGTAAAAGATCAAAGTCATCGCTGACATGTACAATAGGTACATGATCTTTATCAACGGCAGTTTCACATTTATAATCCCATAATTTATGTTTTTTCAAAGCAATATCCCAATCCATCATCTGTACGGCATGCAGACTTTCCGCTTCGTTATGATGACGTAAAACCATGGCTTCCTGAAATCAATACAAACTTTGTGAGCGATCCATAATGTTGTTTTGTTATTGTTTTTACCTTGATTTTGTCCCACTTATCATCGACATCTTGCAGCCAACTTAGTAGTTGTCGACCATTGAACCGGTAACGTGCGTTTTTATCTTTTTCATCCTGTTCCGATGTTGGTATATTGTATACTTCTTCGTCTTTGAGTAGAGTACACACCGAATACGGCACTGGCTGACATGAAATATTGCGCGCTGCCTTCGAGTGAACACGTATCATTTCCTGTTCCACATTCAAACATAATTTCTCACGTTCCACAATGTGACGCTGTAGCAGAGCTTGGCGTTCATTTTCTTGCAAGCGATATATTTCTTGCATCTTTGGTGGAATATTAGACGGTGTTACGAATTCAATTTTCTTCTCATTACTTGCAAGCAGATAATTCTTCTTATTTAACAAATACTCATTATAACCCTGCGGCGGTCTTGGTTTGATCGGGTACATATTTTGCCATTTTTTCTCAATTTGCCGGCGTATTCTAAGATACATTTGGAAACAATTTGTAAATGGCATATCATGCGAATGTGTATCAGACATTGAAGCGTTAGCTTCTGTATTTGTATTTTGATTTCCATTGTTTTTATTATTGTGATTATCATCGTGTTTTGTACGTATTTTTCGCTTGCGTGGATGTAATTCTACACCGTGCGAATGTACGTCTTTCGATGACGATGTCGACGAGGTGGATGGGCTTGGTAAATTAACAATATTTTCATTTTCATATGTGTGATTATGTTGTAGAGGACTTGCGCCAACATTGGTAAATGTAAGTTTATTATCTGTAATACCCTCATTTGCGTTCGATGATGCTGGCGATGGTGAACTGCTTTGCATTTGAGGAGAGGAATTGTTAGAGCTACGTTCGGTACTAGTAATACCACTGCGATGAGAACTACGTAGCACACGATGTAAATTCTTCTCCTCGTTTAATAGCTTCAAATTTTTCTCATCTATAATATTGCATTGTAAGTTATTTATTTTTATGGGACTCTCATGAGGACTGCCGCATTGCGCTTCACGTTCGTTGGAATCATTCGTATTCGAGCTGACAACATATGGTAGCGCTGCATTACGAGATGTGTTGATTTTGCCTGTACGTGATACATTTCCATCGGTATCAATGGAGCAGTTCTGTTGTGGGATTACAATTTTTAGTGGCGGCACCTTTAACCCGCCACTGTATAAGGATTCGGACATTTTCAATTCTTCATCATCACCTTCTGTTTCAAATTGTTTACCGAAACCAGACTTTGCCAATTCAGTCTGATCTTTTTCTGTTGAGTTTGCATTTTTATTTGGGTTCGGCGAACCTTTAGAAGCCGATGTTTGCTTGATAACCTTTTCCGTACGCCCTGGAAGACGTGTAGTCGTTGTGGATTTTGCATCTTTTCCACCATCTATCTCTTTTCGTTTCTTTTTCTTGCCTTCATCACATTCCTCAAATTCATCCTCATCTATATCTGAGAAATGACGTTTACCCTGACTGGACGAAGGTGTATCTGCGCTGCCAACACCATCATGTTCAATTTTGTTTTCGGTATGACCCTCATCAGTGGTTAATTTGTCGCGGCTAGTCTCTGAATGATCATGCTTTTCTGTGGAGTTAACATCTTCAACATCATCACCTTTTTTATGCTCATTCTTTTTGATGTGCGTTCTAGAGGCCTCTGCAATTTTTTTTTTATTTAATCAAGTTTTCTACTGATTGAAAATAAAAACTTTTTATAATAAAAATATATAAATTACCTGTCGTCGAGTTCGCCGTCATCTGAATAAGCAGTGCCATTTGCTGTCTCTCAGACATCGGGGTATTCGGGCTGGGCCTTGATGTTGCGACTCCTGTATTATATCCCACTCCCCTCGGTCTTGGGGGTGGCATAATATCTTAGTAATATTGCGTACACAAAATATCAAAAGTTAAAATCCAAAAGAAATAAAATCCTAAAATATTTTCAAAAGAAAATAAATTCGAACTCTCACAACTATTTCTCATCAATTATTTCACTGACTAATGTACTTAAATCAGGAACGCTATGAATAACGGAACCACAGAGAGCACTTATCTTTATTATAGCGGGAATCTGTAATCAGTCTCTAGTCTCTATTTGAGACATTTTGTGGTAAAATCTCAATTTGTGACTAGTTACTATTCACTAAATAGTCTCTAGCTTTACCGTGCGATTCTGTACTGTGATACAGTATCAAGTCTCTAAATTTGACARAGACAATTTTTGAGACTTGAGACGATTTTGCTATTCTGTAAGTGATAGTCACAAACTCTATTACAGTTCATTATTCAGAGATCTTTTTATACTTGAATGGAAATAAATATGTCGATAACAAATATTAAATTTTCTATAACATAGTCAAAAAACATAATTATCAGTAAAAACATAAATATATGTTCACTTTGTTTCATAATATTAACGAAATTTATGTAAAATTTATTTATTTTTAACCTTTTCGTGTTTCAGTTGCTTACAAAATATGCAATCAATTAATATCTATGATGATCTCTATTCAGTATATTCAAAATGGCAGTCACGAGTTCTTTTTGGTTTTGTGACTTGCTAACTACCAGATTTCAAATTTGAGGCAATATTTTGAGACCGCGAATGTTACATGATCAAGAAATTGAATCGATTGGAACGCCGTCTTCATATAAATTTTTCCATTCTCGTGGGGAGCACTTAGAAAAGCTTACAAGATAGTTTGCCAGTCAATGCACACCAAACAATTATATTATATTCATATATTTGACACCAAAATGTAAGTTATTATGTTGTATGTTAAATAAAAATATGCATAACATAACAAAAATAATATAGTAATAATAAAAAAATGGTTTTGTATGATGAAAAACAATAAAAGAGAAATATGAACAATAATGATTAATAGAAGTTTTCATGTTTGCATTCAGCATTAACGGGCAATTACGACAGGCGATATATGTAATCTATTTCAGTGCCTACCCAAAATTACTAAACAATAGTTTTGTAAAGATGTTCCTATTCCAAAGGTTAAATAGGAGTTGATAAAACTGACTGGTTTAAAATTAAGTATATTTTATTTAAAAAATGGCTAAGAAATTAATATACATTAAAGGGAACATTTGCTTTTACTACTGTACGTGCATCACCTTGTCGCGTACTAAACATTTTTTGTGGTTCGCAAGTTTTCTGTTTTGTTCCATCAGGACTATTGTGTATCACCTGGTGTGCTCTACTGAATATTTATCGCTTTTTTCAAACAAAACTTGTAGCATCAAATAGTTATAAAGTTTGTATTTATTGCATTGATTTCTCGTTAAAAATAATGATAAATTAATCAATTCTGTTATATAACGCTGTTGTATACGATATATTAACGAAGTACGTGTTTTATAGAAGTGTTAAAAATATGTTATTGATTTTTCAATAGTTTGTGTAAACTTTATTGTGTCTTTAAAATGCACAATGTTACCGCAGAAAAAATATACAAACAACACCAAGGCATGTAAGACGAACTTATAGCGTTAATTAAGTAATTGGTAAGTGAGTCCGAAATTGCAATAGAGGCGAAGTAAGCAAAGCAAAAAAAAAAAAAAGATATTTGCACGCAAAATTACTATTCTTTTATACGAATAATACAAAAAGGAGGCTGCGTTGTGCGCTAGGCGCCACCATAGTAGCAGCGCGGCACATATGTATATATACTAGATAAGTGACACAATACAAGAAATGTTTGCATACCACATCTATTTGTATACGTGGAATCGTGTGCGCTAATGACAATAATTCTTCAATATTTAATGTTTATGTGTGTCCATAACTGATAAAATCAGTTGATCGCGCTAGTTTTATAACTTTTACAAATAGGGCGTTGCTTTGGATTCCAAAAAATATACATATCCAGTTCGCAGTATACTAATAAAATATATACTTTGCTTTTATTAAATTATTAGGGAAGGATTGGTTTTACATCATAACTATCCATTTAGGAATATAAAACATATCTTTACATACTTACGTATGTATATGAAGAAGCTATGAAATATATTCACACCGGTTTCGTAAACTGTAAAATATCAATATGTCATACGTAAGTTAAGTGATATTATTGTATGGTAGGGAAAGAGGGATTAGTACTGTTAACATGTCAAACAGTTTCATTTGCATTCACTTACGCAATACTAGCAGTAATAGAAAGAAAACTGACACAAATTGCTAAGTTAGAAGTGGTTTTATTGGAAAAGTTTGTAAATTAAAAAAAAAAAAAAAAAAAAATTCTTGAAAAAAAACACACAAAAATAAATGGCTGGGATTTAGAATAGCAAAACGCCTTCCCCGAGTTTGGGGTTAAAATGGGTATGTACAGATAGGGGAGGTTCTCCGGATTAAGGAAAAAGGGTCACACACTTATGGTTTTTAATATACTTGCATTTAAAGATCAAAAATTTAACTATTTAAAGGGGGTATATATTTGATTTAGCATAAATTTTACACATGCATAATTTTTGTAATCACCAACATTTCACTAATTTTGTACACATTTGTTTTGTATTAAATGGGGCAAAACTAACTTTAA